ATTTTTCTTCTTAGTTTGTGGCCAAAGCAATATGCTACAAGTAGAGAACACACGTTATGGATACAAATTACTACGCACTGATAATGGTTAACTAGATTTTCTCCTTATTTATTACCTAACGTCAATGCATACGTCATAAGCTACTTATTCATTATAACTGTCTCACAAGAAAAAGATCCCCACATACATACATATATAATACATAAAATGTTAATGGTCAAAGTTGAATCAGACCAGGAAACTGTAGTATTAAAAAGTGCTCAATACACGTGTAAAAAAAACAAGAGTAGAAATAACATGTAAATCTTTTACTGTTAAAATCAGGAGGTCAGTTGAATCAACTACCATGGTATCATCAGGCGAATTTTTATCAAATTACCACTTAACGATTTTTTTTAGCCTTTTTTGCATCATTTGCATTTAAGAAAATATATTAAATATATATATATATATATATATATATATATATATATATATATATATATATATATATATATAATATATATATATAAATATTTATATATATATATATATAAAGTACAAAATTTTGTGAAAAAGAAGACAAAATTTATTTTATTACCACTCATGATGATAATAATACTTATTGTCATATCTTTTTAGGGATAATTCTATTTAATTTATTAACCTCGATTTAACTCTGCTGAGCGAGGTTCGAAACCAGTTATCTAACCCGTTTTTCAGTTTTAATTTTTATCTGTTATCATCATGAGTGGTAATAAAAATAAATTTTGCCTTTTTATAGCGGTCATATATATATATATATATATATATATATATATATATATATAATATATATATATATATATATATATATATATATATATATATATATTTTATATTATAAACATAAAAAATGTCTTAAAAAATAATTGTCGGACTTTTCCATTTAATAATATATATATATATATATATATATATATATATATATATATATATATATATATATATATATAAATAAAAAGAAAGAACAGTAAGATATAAAATCCGGTGTTCTTATAAATATTTTTATTTTTACAAAATAGTGCTCAATATAAATTTACAGAGCATTAATATTATAAATTAATTGATTTAAAATTTAATATTGTTAAAAGTTGGCTTTTTCTTTTTTATTATTAGAGCTTCCATTATTTTTAGTCTTTTTTGCAAGTGGATGCGGTTAATATATTTGTGTTTTCTACTAGTATGTTCCTAATAGTGTCGGGTAAATCTGAGTGTGTGTTTAAATGTGTTCTGATGGAACTCTGATCAGATAGAAATTTACTATGAACAAAGCCACAATGTGCTAACCGTATTCGGAAATTAAAAACATCACTACCACACACTGAACATACACAGAACGCACACACTCTACTAAGCTGATAATCGAATCATCCTTGATAATGGTTAAAGGTATAGCCGAAAGCGCTCGGAAATACAAAACATTCGGACAGTTCTTACACACTCTTTGTCCAGAAAAGAAAACTCTTGTCAGAACACAAGAAAAATTAAATAAAAAGCTCAACCGTAGTACCTTGTCTGTCGTTTTTAATCAAACATGCATATATATATATATATATATATATATACGTGGCGTAATGGGTATGAAGCATGTCTCGCTAAACAATTACGATTGAGTAGTGAGTTGGCTCCTCATTAAGTGCCCTAATATTTACAGACTTGTGCCGCATGTACGGTACGCTTAAAAAATATTTGGAATATTCAGTGTGGTGTAATATTTAGCAAGATTGTCTCACGAGAACAATTACGATTGAGTAGTGAGTGCGATCCTCACTGGGTGTCCCATGCTTTCGACGTTGTGCCACATCTGAGCTACGCTTGGAAAATTATCATATATATTTACGCGTGTGAGCAATTTTTCTTGTCTTCGTGATTAACGCCATGTCCTTCAAGATTCATTTTTCTTTATTAACCGTAAATTACGACGATTTCTTAGGAAAGATAATGGAGTAGTTTCCTGTTGCCTTATTTTGATTTTTAATTCAGAGCTGTCATCATTCTAGACTGGTTGCCACCCAAGTCGAAAGAGCCCAATCTAATCTGTTATTTAACCCACTGCTAGAAAGTCTACGTTTATGACTATTCCTAATGTATTAGTGACCACAACAGTCTAGACTCGAATTCGATCTCGGCTCTCAGATTTCACTATACGTACCAATAATTCTTTTTCATTAATACGTTTGATTAAATCCAACAGACAAATATTTGTTTTTCGGTGATTATTATTATTATTATTATTATTATTTGTGCATGTTATGTATCCTGTAGAGCCGGCATCAAACTATGGACTAAGGCTATTATTATTGTTATTAATTTTATTATTTGTGTGTATGTTATGTTTTCCTGCTTTGTATCCTGTAGAGCCGGGTCCAAACTATGGTCCTTAGGCCCTATAGGAGAATTGTCATTTAATTGATAGCACTTTTCTTAGTATATGGGATGTTCCTAGTAGGGCGATCTTTTGGGCAATTTGTATGTTGATGTTACTTGGGACACTGTTAGGAAAATTGTCCATTCCTTTTCTCACGAGGCCCAGTGCTCCGATTACTATTGGTACAGTCTCAGTCTTCATTTCCCACATCCTGTTAATCTCGATCTCCAGGTCCTTCTATTTGGATAATTTATCGATAAATTTCATGGAGGTGTTTCTCTCAGCTGCTACTGCTATGTCAAGAAGCATACACTTCCTGAATTTCTTGTCTTTTATGATAATATCAGGTCTGTTGGCTTTTATTTCCCTGTCAGTTTGAATTGCAATGTTCCAGAGGATAGTTACATCGTTATTTTGGGTAACTCTATTATTATTATTATTTTTATTGTCTTTGATTTCTGGCGTTTACACATTTCTTTCCGGGTCCCGCCCAGGGACCTAAGGTTTGAAATGGCGTCATGACACTTTCCACTGACAAAAAAAAAAAATTTAAATTACATAGATAAAGCCCTTCGTAAGGTGTGGGCTGTACTTGTCAGAACAATTTTTTGTATCTACTTGAGGCATGGACTTCCAGGAATCCCTTCAATTAGTCTACTGCAATCTTTTCCAATCAGTCATAGGGCTCCAACTACAACAGGGATTGTTGATGTTCCCATATGCCACATTTTCGAGATTTCTATTTCAAGGTCCTTGTATTTTGACAACTTTTTGAATATCTTCAAAGATACATTGCAGTCAGCAGGGACTGCCATGTCAATAAGGAGGCACCGTTTTTGTTTGTGGTCTTTAATAACAATATCTGGCCGGTTGGCCTTGTTTGTTCTGTCAGTGTGTATTGTGTAATCCCATAGAATTGTAACAGGTCCTATCTCCGTAACCGGGTCTGGGTGGTATTCATACTAGATTCTTTCAGTTTCCTTCCCGTAGAAGTTGCAGATTTTCCAGTGCAGATATTGGCCCACTCTGTCATGTCGGGTTTTATATTCAGTGGGTGCCAACACCGTGCAACCTGATACAAGATGATCAATCGTTTCTGGATATTTATCACAGAATCTGCATTTTGGGCTGACACAATATTTTAGTATATGTGCTTGATAATTCCTAGTTAGCAAGCATTGGTCCTGCGCAGCAAGGATAAAACCTTCAGTTTCCGCTTTCAACCCTGTACTACGTAGCCACTGATGGGTACGGGTTTTGTCTACGTCAGCTTGTTTGGTACGGGCAGAGTATTGGCCATGAAGCGGTTTATCTTGCCATCGCTTCTGTATCTGGTCGGTTGCATTCATCTTTGCTGTCTTTTTTAGGTATTTTGCAGTTTCAGCCGGTGTATTTTGCTGTAGTTGCATCTCTACGCCCATTTGAAACTCCATTTTGAATTTGTTGGCTTCTTTCATTACGGAGTAAAAACGCTTACTACTTTCATGTTCCTTGACGCATACCATCATCCAGTCTTCTGTAGTTTCCAAATGTCTTAGGAGGCCAATTGTTGTAGTTTAGTAGGACAGTTCTAGTTGAACTAATCCTCTGGGCACATACAGACGATCAACATCAGCTTTGGGATGATGAATGCGATAGCAAGTGAGAAGCTTTCTCGTTTTGGCGTCTATTCGCTTAATTTCAGCTATGGTCCAGTTAAGGACATTAAAGCTGTATTGCACCACAGGGACAGCCAATGTGTTTATGGTTGATATCCTGTTTTTTGAGTTCAGCTCAGTATTTAGTACCGGACGTACACGCCTGTAGTATTCTTTTCTTATTTTTTACTTCATTTGGGGGTGTTGTATACCATCTCCTTCGCTAATTCCTAGGTACTTATAAGCTTCACCATGCTCCAGTTCCCTAATCTTTGTAACAAAATCTAAATCTATTAAGGGTGTTTCTGTAATTCTACCTTTCTTGAAAGTTACTTTTGCACATTTATCTAATCCGAAGTCCATACCTATGTCGTCACTGAAGTATTTTACAATATTGAGGAGGCCTTTCAACTCATTGTCGTCTTTGGCAAAGAGTTTGAGATCATCAATGTAGAGTAGGTGATTAAATATTTTCTTATTTATTTTGTAACCATAGCTACTGTTGTTCAGTTCATGTGTAAGAGGGATTAAGGATAAACAAAACAGAAGGGGTGACAGAGAGTCTCCTTGAAAGATTCCACGTCAGATATTCAGACGGTTGGATATGGCAGTGCCTCCGGTGTGACTAAGGTATAGTTTGGTGTTCCACATTCCAATGCTGTGCTTATTATTATTATTATTATTAATATTATTATCATTATTATTATTATTATTTCCTTTCATTTCTGTTATATACACATTTCCTTGCGGGTCCCAACCAGAGATCTAAGGTCAGAAATGACTTCATGACATTTTCCACTGATCATTTTTGCAAAAGAACAAACAAAAAAAATCTAAGATCCCACACATTGTCTTCAACAATTCTGTCCAAAGCTTTTCCAGTCAATCCGAGCGAGGGCATCTTTGATTTCTGGTGTATACGCATTTCTTTTCACATCCAAACCAGAAACATAAGGTCAGAAATGGTATCATGG